TTGCAAAATAGCACCCATGAGGAGCTGAGATTGCACCAGGGACCCCAAGAACAAACCATCCACCCCCTTTTCCCTCCCTTTTAAACAACAGAAATGCACCCCCTTAACCAAATATATAATATCTGCCGAAAGAAACATTCCCGGTGCGCTCGGAGCTTCATAAATAAATAAACGCGTCCCCCCCGCCTCCCCCGGAGCCCAGCGCGGGGGTGTGCGAGAGCCCGTCTGCGCGGATGGCGGTGTGCGCGCCTATATGTATTTACACACGTATAACGTATACAAATACCCGCTGGAAGTGGGGGAAAAAAGTTAATTATTCGCATTCGGAAAACTTTAACCCCTAGTGTCTGCAAATCGTCCTGAAATGTCTGGGGACTTTGCTACAATTAAAAAAAAAAAAAAAAAAAGAAAAAAAAAGGGAAAAAAAGTTTTTTGTGTGTGTGTGTGAACTTTGCAAGGAGGAGATCCCGCCGGGTTGATTAACTTAGATTTGCTATAGGAGAAGAACTCGATTTTGACAACTTATTTCGGTTCATGCTTGTCTAATTACCATAGATTAGCATTCCCTGTTCATGAAAGCTGCGCTCGCTTGAACCAAACCTTCGCTTTTCATATATTGCATCTTTTTCCTGTTTTTTTTTTTTCTGCAAAAGCTCCGTATTCGGGAGATAAATGGAAAATCGAAGTATTTCCTTTATCCCTTGCTAAATCCCGATCTCCTCCAGAGTCCGGTACCGCATTGTGCCCTCTTGCGTTTTTTTGTTAATACCAAATCTATGCCCGACCTTTTATGGCTAAAAGGAAGCCTTGGGTTACGGTCAAAAGCTGAGTTTATTGATTGTTACCGATCGAGATTTCTTTTTTTTTTTAACGAGAGGAAAGCTGGCGATGTGATGGGGCTGCTGCCTTGGAGGTGCGCAGAGACCCCGCGGTTTTGCATCCCCCCCTTTGAGCCAGTCCCCACAGCAAAATACCTATTTTTGCAGAGTTAAAAGGCTGGAAGGGATAATCCCGAAAGTCTCAAGCAATTCCCGGTCACCCTAAAAGCTGCACTTTGCTCTGGGGTTTGCCTCTCTCGGTTTTGCCTGGATTTCCTCGCCAGAGATGTGCTCTGCTCTACCTGGTGCATCCCCCCCTCAGATCCCTGATTGCTCAAGGTAGAGTTGGACCTCTGATCGCCGCCTTCCCTTTTTTCCAATGGGAAAATCAGAGCGATCTCACAGGGAGAAAAAAAAAAACAACAACCCACCCTAAATTAAACCCAGGACTGTCCCCCGATCATTCGCGTTTTATCAAGGATTTGTTTCCTGTCCGAATTTGTAGCCATCTGTCTGTCGGGTCTTATACGCAGTGAAATGACACGCCTTATAATACACACTCCCCTGTACTTGAATCTGTGAATGTGTGTGCTACAAATCTAGAATTACATATATTACATGGTGACTGTAGAGCTGCCAATGCGGCTCACTCTGACGGAGCTTTAAGTATCTACGAAACGGGTATCTTATTACGAGCTAATTTATTTTAAACATCATGTTTACATCAGCAAAGCCAAGATTGTTTCATGCCACGGCTGCAATGAACATTTCGACTGAAACGTAATCCTTATAATTCAAGGAAATAACATGCAAAGGAAGTAGTTTTCCATCCTCCACCCCCTCTCTGACTGATATCTCTTATATTTGTTCTTGCAGAGTTTCCCTTTGTGTATGGAATGGACCCAAACTTACGTAGATCTGCTTTATTGGTATGCAAGGGAAAAAAAAAAAAAAGTGAGATTGAAAGGGAACGATGACTAGAGAAGAGAGAAAAAAAAACCCCAAACCAAAACAGGATCGGATGAGAGCCTGAAGTTAACTGCTTTGCAGGAGCCGAACTGCTCATACATTTGATTAGAGAGTTACGCAATATTTGTAGCTCTGCAAAACCAGCGATTATCTGGCATGATCAGCTCCGCATGCAAATTTTGGGCTAAGAAATGGGATGTCCTGATAATTCAATGCGTGAGTACATCTGCTGAAAATGTTTGCTCTAATGTTTTCTCTCACTTCTCGTGATTGCTCTGCAAATAAATCCCTCGAAATAGTTTGGGAAAAAATCCCCCTCCCCCAAATTTTACCGTACTAAAATACCGCTCATCCTAATACCTTTGTGGCTAAACCAGGCTTTTTACGTAGTTTGACAGTCGACAATTTAAAAGAAAAAAAAAAAAGCACTAATTGAAACTGGCCGCTTGCTAATTGCTTATTGCTGACATTTTAGACGCGCTACAGATTAAAAAATAATATGTCTTGCCTCTTAGAAGAAGGGTGAGCCTATAGATGGTTATTTGGGGGACGAAAAGAAAAGAAGAAAACTTGGTTCCCGATGTGAAAAAAAAAAAACAAACCAACCCAATGCCTGTCATAGTTTTCATCTTCCGGAGGGTCAGGCCCACGGTCTAATTGATTTGCCACCTATAATACATGTAAATACGAGCCGAGGTCTTAAACCGCACTAAATCTCAGAGAACTGAATGTTTAGCACAGAGTTGGTTTCTATTCCCAGCTCAATAGCTACACAAAAAAGAAAAAAAAAAATTAAATGTTGGGTTATTAGTGTAGCTGTTTAACAGAAGCTCTCCTGCCTTCCCCGCTTAAGTCCGAAGGTAAATCTGAGACCGATTTTGCGAATATATTTTCTTTGGACGCCTCGAGCGCCAGCCCAGCCGGGAGGGACACAGACCCAGAGCAAGAACGGTTGCAGAAGCCAGCTTATACAGTAGCCCTTAAGTCAGACCCGTCTTTGAGGGCACCGATGGGCACATCTTTATTCAGTCTTTGGCCTCATCTCCTCAAAAAACAGACGCAGGGTTTGCTAAGAAGGAGGCAATAAAGCGGGGAAGTTGCGAGAGGCACCAGAAGGTGGTATAACACATTTCACTGCGCTGGGAAGCCGGCTTTCCCCTCCTGACAGACATCACTCAACTGGCAGGGTATAAATACAGAGAAAAAAAAGTATTTACAGTATGTACAATCCCAGCTCTCTGCCCAGGAAGGTCCCACTTTTTGTCGCTTTGCTTTTCTGGCCAGCAAACGCCAAACCCACCGAGCAGAGCCAGGCAGATAGATGAGGGGATTAAAACAACACCCAAATATTTCGAAATGCAAACAGAACAGAGCATTGCTTGTGTGAAAGCTAAACCCGCTAAGAACTTGGTAGAAAGTTCAGTGCAGTTGGTTCCAATAAAAAATGAAACTCTCTTTTTTTCATGCGGAGCTGGAATTCCCGATCCTTCTGAAGTGAGAACACAGCGGGGGTTTCCCTACCGAGGGACTTATTGCAGCCATAAAGTCAAACCAACACCACGAAAACACTTGAAAAAACCCCTTGTTCCTGGAGTCAGACATAGAAAGCCATTGGCAGCAGAGAAACCTCCCCGTAATGCTCATGCACACCCAAAATCACATCGGAAAAAAAACCCGACAGAGCCATGTACAGCTCCAGGGTTGGAGTACTTAAAACAATGATCCCTGAAGGTGTAAAAAAATACCCGCTCTCCCCGCGCATAACCGCCTGAAACTTAATTTCCAGCAATTTAAGTTTAATTTACCTGACTTCCCGAGCAGTGCATAATAACCTTGTTAATGGGATCTTTGAAAAGGAGCAATAATAATCTACCATTGTTCCATTAAAGAGTGCAGCTAATTATTAACAAAAAAAAAGGGGAGGGGGGAAGGAGGGGAGGGCAGAGGGACATTGGGGGAGTCAAAACGCATCCAGACCCAAGTATTTCCGCGAAAGCAAGCCCTGGGAAGGGGAAAGGGGGGCTGCTGGTCAAATAACACTGGGAAAGCAGGGAGAAGGAGAGGAAAAGGCGAGACGGATCATATAATGCGGAAGGCGAGTGCTGGGGGGTGTTGGGAATTACAGCATGGAACAAGTTAATCATGGCTGTTGCTGGTCAAAAGAGAGAAACTTTTTCTTTTTTCCTCCCTTTTTTTCTTTTTTAACATAGTCCCTGGGCATCTCACTTTCTTCGAGAAAATGTCCCTAGTCTAGACGTAAACAGTTGCCAGGAAACTGTGTGGTAGAAGGAGAAAACGAGAGGGAGAAAGCGAGAGGGAGGGAGGGAGAGAGAGAAACCTTTTAAAATAACAGACACGCATTGTCCCTTCAAAGCCTACAGTAACTTAAAAGTGATTCGTCGTCTGCCTTTCCTCCCTGCTCCTTCCCCAGCAACCACCTCAATTTTGTGTACACGACTTGACATATCTTTTCCAGACCCCACCGAAATGACCACTCCAAGCAATAAATACATACAAGCTCCTCTGCCTTTTATGATGAGCTGAAATCCCCTTCGCCTCGTACGTCATTATTGCATCGCATTTTACAACATCTCCGCTTGTGTTCACGCTCAGCAACCAACCAGCTACCTTTCATCTTCCATGTGCATATAGACAGATAGATGTGAGCCTTCATATGTGTACGCATGTATAGATTTGTACACACATGGCACGGAACAGCTGTACACGCCTATCAGCGTAGGTTGGGGGGATGTATAGATCAACACGCGCATGTGGGGTGTCCATAGCTCACATGTGAGCGCACACATATGTGCGAGTGCGTCCTATATATGTATCTCCAGACACTTTAAGGCTAGGCATATAGCTAAAAGCAATTCACAGCGGGGCGCCAGGCCTCAAGGGCGAAGCGCATCCGAGAGCGGGGCCGGGGGGGCTGCGGTCCCTGGCACCGCCG